CCCCTCCACATATATATATATATAGATGTTAACATCAAGTGGTGGAAAATACACAACCCTTCTTTCTTGAGCCTGAGGTACGGCAAGCTCGTGCCGACTACTAGTCGTCTCATGAGTCGGGCCGAACTCGCCGAACTCGCTGCTAAGCCCAAAGCCTGAGCCTACTTTGAGAATCGGGGTTTAGGGTTTAGGGTTTAGGGTTTTAGGTAGACTCATAATTACCTTAATAGGGATCCTAATTGGGGTTAGCCTCTCAACCACTTTCAGGGAGAAGAGCTGGCTCATCGAGGTACAGCCTCCAGGACTCGGAGGGGGGGGAAGAGAGAGACTCAGCGTTTCATCACACCCCGGCTTTCTACTGTAGAGTCAGACACAACGCGGAAGGTGCGTGCCACCTGGAGTCCAAGCCTGGTTTCATGTTCACGATGTTGTGTTGAGCCTGGGAATACATGGTGTAACAGGGGGCTAGTAAACCGACCACACCGACGAACGAACAGCGCACCAGGGGTTTCGCAAGCAAGCAGGCAAGCAAGCATGCAAGCCACGGCGATACAAAAGAAGCACACGGCCATGGAAGAGCAATGCAGTACATGTTGGATTGGACAGACAAGCACCAAGAGATAATGGGTAGACCAGCTGACCTGCTCACGGCTCGATAGGCACCCGCGCTGCGTGTTGTGATGGATGTCCCTGATAGCCCGTGCTGACGTGCAGGCTTTGCGCATCCGTCATGGGAGGCTTCTCAGGAGACTTCACGGCAACGTAGCTCTGACACGCTTCAAGACAAGGTTTAAACCGACTAGGCAAGCTGTCCTTTAGGAAGCCACGGAGACTCAGACCCAACATTCATACGCAGTCCGCATTTTCGAACAATTTGGCCGCTGACACTCTTGCTGCCATGTCCTCGCTCTGTTTGATTGCAAGCTCTTTGTAGGATGAATTCACATTCCAGGTGCGCCTTCGGCGCTGTGTCTTCGGACAGCTCAGGTCCAGCACACAGTCGTACATGTAGCTCTGACTCTTCAGAACTTGCGGACAAGTCTAGCTCTTGACAGCTGACGGGCTGTTGCCGGCAAGTCCTTCCACATGACCACACTCTCAGACTTTCAGCTGTGTGGTTAGCACACTGGCCACCTCCGCCTTGGAAAATCGAGTATACGATAGTTTACTATTTCATGTTATCGTATACGATAGTCTACTACAGTATACTACATTATAGTATAGTATACTATAGTGTATACTTATAGTATACTGTAATATAGTTTAGTATACTATAATATACTATAATGTACTATAAGATACTGTAATGTACTATAATATATACTATAATATTCTGTAACATACTATAGTATGTGAAACCTGAACTGCCGAGGCTGCAGTCCAGCAGGCTGCCCAGGCGGTCCCTGCCTTACTCTGACTTCTGAAGATGCTTTGGTTTAGGGTTGAGGGTTTCTATAGTATGTTATAGTATGTTACAGTATGTTATAGTATGTCATAGTATATTATAGTATATATTATAGTACATATTATAGTATATATTATAGTATATATTATAGTATATTATAGGATTGAGGGTTTAGAGCCTTGAGTGCCGTAGGATCGAGTTCATTCGGCCTGGTCTTCCGGAGTTCACTGCTGGCACAAACAAGCGGTGGTCCTGGTCCTGGTCGTGGTCGTGGTCGTGGTCGTGGTGGCGGTGGTGGCGGTGGCGGTGGCGGTGGCGGTGGCGGTGGCGGTGGCGGTGGTGGCGGTGGCGGTGGTGGTGGTTTTGGTGGTGATGGTGGTGATGGTGGTGGCAGCGGCGCTGGGGGTGGCGGTGGCGGTGGCAGTGGTGCTACCACAGTTTTGTTGATTGTCCTTGTGATCACTGTTTAATTCCAAAAAGATGCACAGCTCAGGTGGAGTGGTCATTGTCGTTGTCGGATCCGAATCCTCGGTGTCCAACGTGACGCAGGACATGCAAAGTCCTCTCCTCAGCTTGGGTACTCAGGTTTGCAGGTGATGCATTTCGAGTCCCGAATCAGACAATACGGAGGACAACGACTTAGAGGTCTGCAACATTCCGCAACCCATCCTTCAACGCGAGACCCTGCGACACGGACTGCGGCAGAACCGAGATCGCAGAATGAGGCGTAGAACCGCAGCCTGCAGGGTATCTAGAATAGCAACCACGCAGTCCGGCCCAGTAGGGCCATCCAAAGCATGGGTTTGACTATTTTCCACGGCCTTCTGACTCAGACCGCAAAGCCCAGGACCAGAGCCCCAAGACTGAATGCCCCAATCATGGCTTGGGATCCATACTATGGCATACTATAATATAATTCCAGCATACTACAGTCTAAAATATTTGTACTATAGTCTACTACAGCATATTATGGCACACGATAGTATCCTATTATAATATTCATCTAAAGTCTAGTGCTATGATGTCTGGTATAGGTTCCGAATCCTACGGCATGAACTGCTCGGACTTCTCCTCGAGCTACATGGGCTCCATCAGCCGCGGCCTTGGAATTTTTAGGGACTTGCAGAGTTCCTTTGGGAAAGACCGTATCAGACTATGGCATGCAATAGCTTACTATACCACATTGTAATAATATTATACTATAGTATACTATAATATACTATATGGATGCTGCTTCGAGGTTGAAGGAGAGCTCAGTATGTACATATGCCTGCATGGACGGATGGAGGGATGTAAACGTACCAGATCTGTACCGGCATCTGTGTCGTTTTATGTACGCATGCCCGAAGCACAGGGTCTGCAGTTTCTTCGGTGCAGGAGCTCCCCGGGCCCGAGAACCTAAACATTTATTAGAGACACGCGTTGTTGCCAGGCCGGTGACCGTGATGATGGTGCTGCCGATGACACATGGTGATGATGGCAATAGTGCTGCTGCTGACGGCCGCGATGGTGGTGATGATCCGGAGGAAGACATGTTTGCTGATGTTGATGGTAGTGGGTCTTGGTTGTGATCGAATCGTAGTGGTGCTCTTTTGTGTCTAAGAATTTGTTCTGGCACAGTCTTGATTCATGATGATGGTGAAGGGTGATGACGATGGTCAGAGTCACCCTTCTCCACGCCGTCAGGTGTGACCTGCGAAGCCGGCGTTATCAAGGCTGATGCTACCACTTGCACCCCTGCTGGTTCCGGAACTTCCAAATATAGAGACTTTGAAGATGTTTGAAGGCTTCCGAAGGTTGAAGGGTAGCTGGTAAGGGTTGGTTAGGTCGTGGATGGTTTTGGCTCTTGCGGGTATGGCTCTCCGCGAGGTTTCCTGAGTATTTCCTCCGATTGTGAGAAGCCATGTGACAGCCGTTTCGCTGGAGATCCAGGTACACCCGTGGTCGTTGCCGGCACCGTGACGCAGGCGGTCGGCTGAGCTGGGTGAGTGGGCTGATAGCAACTGATTACAAACTGGGGCATTGTACAGTGCTGTGCTGGACCGATCAGGAAGTGACGGTTGTCGAGAGTGCGGTGGCTTTCGCACTGCCCGCCATGGAGGGTGTTTCCAAGGATGAGCTGCAGGCCTGTCCGTGCCAAATGGCGACAAACAACTGATGGAAAGTGTATCTAGGCCAGAGTTCGGGCATCATGTGCGGTGGGTTAGGGCTGCTGTTCTAATATCACAACGGTTTTATAGAGGCTCTTTCGAGGCCCAAACCCTGGTGCTAAAAGGAGCGTAGTAGCTGTAGACGCACAAACATGCTCACACCGGAGTGCATCGAGCAAAGTGCATGAGTGGTGCCTCAGGCCTCACCTTTGCGTCAACTCGGTGATTGGCCGGTGACCAGAAGAAAGAGCAAAAGTAGCATGTATTCTGTGAGTTATAGGCTATAGGAGATGAACAAGGAGTTGAGTACAGCCTTGCAGTAGCATGATCCATCAAAGTCTGACAGACTCATATAAATATCATCAGAAAGTCTGTCGATCTGTCTATCTAACTATCTAACTAACTAACTCACTAACTAACTAACTAGCCAGCTAAGTAACTAACTATCTAACTCACTAACTTACTAGCTAGCTAACTAACTAACTATCTAAACAACTAACCAACTAATTATCTATCCATATTATAGATGTATCTACACGCACACTGCCGAAGGCCGCCATGGAGACGCCGGCCACGAAGCAGGCCTACGCGAAGACGCTGCAATCCTCTCTGGGAGTGGAGAACCTGGAGGCCCGAGCGCTTTTTACAGGCATCTGTGCATAGTATACTATCATATACTATATATATATATATAGTCTATACTACAGTATAATATACTATAACATACTATAGTATACTATAGTCTACTATAGTATATCCTACAGTATAATATACTATGGTATACTACAGTATACCATAGTATACTATAGTATACTATAGTATACGATAGTATATACTGCAGTATAATATACTATACTATACTCAGTCGCAGCTGCCGCAGCGACCTTCGCTGCAGATCTGCGTGCCATTATTATGTTGGTGGCAGAGAGAGCTGATGTAATGACGGTGATGATGGCGGCGACATAGACGATGTGACGATGACGACCATGATGGTCATGATCATGATGATGATGATGATGATGATGAGCAGGAGGAGGAGGATGAGGATGGCGATGACCGTTAAGTTGAAGACCACTGCCCCGATCGCGATGTCCATGACAATGGCGATCATGATGGTTACGGTCGCGACGACGTTGAAGATGAACAGCAGGCAGACCGTGACTGTGTTCCTGCTTTGTCCTCTCGTTCTTGCTGGTCTCGTGTGGTTGTCCCATTGATGCTTTGTGCTGCTGCTACCCCTGTCGTGAGTCGATGACCCGTGAAGGACATCATCATCCTGCTCATCCAGGTTCTGGAGTCCGTGTCTGCTGGAGCCTCGAGATTCGGCAAAGCTGTGAAATCAGGCAGAGTCCGGTGTAGTGGTGGGATGTAGGGTGTATTCAGGCCAAGTATCAGACCGCTCTCCAACTTAGGCTTGCTTCGGATAAAAGAAAAGCATTTTGTCACGAGTATCTGGTTGACTCGACTGCCATCACAGCTGTTAGGTCTCACATTTCGGGATTTGTAATTTTGGGAGGCTGAATACTGGTGGGAGCCAGAAAGCATTCATCCAGGGTTCAGGGAAGTTTAGGTTCAGGTTACATGATCCTGGAACCCCTGTCAACTGGGCACAACGCAGCTCTTCGCATGTGAGCTTTTGCAAGGTAAGGGCGCCTTGTCTTGCATGGTAGCTAGATGCAAATGTTCAAAAAGCTTTAGACTAAGCCCCACCAAAGAAACGGCAAACTCCGACAGAAAAGTCGCCTTGCCCGAGACTGTCCGAACAGACGTAAACCCACCCCGTTCGATCCACACGTCGAGGGCGGACGTCGTCTCCAAAGTGCCGAGCACCCAGCGGGAATCACTCTTGGGTCGGCTTGTAGGAATTCCACCGCAGCAAGTAATATTGAGGGTTGACAAGTCTGTCTGTCTGTATATCTATCTACCTATGTCTCTGCTTATATATAATATATATATATATAAGTATTAATATAAATATATAAATATACATATATATATATATATATATATTAGATTATGCCCCCCAAGACCAGTCTGCTTAGACGCCTTTATTCGAGACTGCCCCCGATACCCTTCTGGTTACTCAAATTAGAGGGGAGGTGCAGCCACGACAGGAGAGCAGAATGCCCGTCTCGCCGCAGGCCCCGACTTGAGAAGTCTCGAAGTCAAACCGACCTTTCAGTTTTCAGCTGCTATTGTGCCCATGGCGACCAGCGCGCCTCTGCTCGGCAAGCAGGGCAAGGCCGCCCACAGCAAGGCATCGATCTTCTATGGAGCAGACGAGTACCTTGAGGAGCTTATTTTTTTTGTAAACCCTAAACCCTAAACCCCAAACCCTAAACCCCCCAAAAAAAACCTTGAGGAGCTGAAGAAGAAGTACGAACACGACCACGACCGCTACTGTGACAACACCTC